GTATTCCATTGTTAAATGTACCACAGCTGCTTTATCTAGTCATCTGTCAATGGACATTTAGGCTGTTTCCATGCCTTGGCTATTGTAAATAGTGCTGCTGTGAACATTGGGGTGCATATATCTTTTTCGAATTAAAGTTTCCTCTGGATATAAGCCCAGGAGTGGTATTGCTAGATCATACGGTAAGTCTATTTTCAGTCTTTTGAGGAATCTCCATACTGTTTTCCATAATGGCTGCACCAAACTGCATTCCCACCAGCAGTGTAGGAGGGTTCCCTTTTCTTCACACCCTTTCCCACATTTACATATGATAAGAGTTTAGTTTTGCAAGAAACTGCCAGACTCTCTTACAGACTGGCTGTACGTACGTTTTGCATTCCCACCAGCAGTGAATGAGAGTTCCTGTTGCTCCACATCCTCACCAGCATTTGGTGTTGTCAGTGTTTTAGGTTTTGGTCCTTTTATTAGGTATATAGTGGTATCTCATTGTTTTAATTTACAATTCCCTAATGATAAATAGTATTGAACATCTTTTGATATGTTTACTTGCTGTCTGCATATCTTCTTTAGTGAGATGTCTATTCAGGTCTTTTGCCCATTTTTTAATTGGGTTATCTGTTTTCTTACTGTTGAGTTTTAAGGGTTCTTTGTATATTTTATATGCTAATTCTTTATCAGATATGTCTTTTGCTTTTTTTTTTTGCATTTTGTGGCTTACTTTTCATTTTCTTGACATCATCTTTCACAGAGCAGAAGTTTTCAGTTTTAATTGAGTCCAGTTAAATAAATTATTTCTCTTATGGATTGTGTCTTTGGTGTTGTATCTAAAAAAGTCATGGCCATACCCAAGGTCATCTAGGGATTCTCCTATGTTATCATCTGGGAGTTTTATTAGTCTTTATCTTATATTAAGTCTGTAATCCAGATTGAGTTCATTTTTGTACAGGGTGTAAGGTCTGTGTCTGGATTCAGTTTTTTGCATGTGGATGTCCAGTTGTTCCAGCACCACTGTTGAAGATTATCTTTGCTCCATTGTGTTGCCTTTTCTCTTTTGTCAGAGGTCAGTTGGCTCAGTTTTCATGGATCTTTTCCAGGGCCTTTGCTCTGTTCCACTGGTCTGTTTCTTCTTTTGCCAATACCACACTGTCCTGATTACTGTAGCTTTATAGTACATCTTGAAGTTGGGTGGTATGAGTCCTCCAAATTTTCCTTCTCCTTCAATATTGAGTTAGCTATTCTGAGTCTTTTGTCTCTCCATATGAATTTTAGAGTCAGTTTGTTGATATCTCCCAAAAAACACTGGGATTTTGATTGAGATTGCATTGAATCTATATAGATCAAGTTGGGAAGAACTGACATCTTGACAAAATACTGAATCTTCCTATCCACGAACGTGCACTGTCTCTCCATTTATTTAGTAGTTCTTTGATGTCTTTCATCAGTTTTGTATTGTTCTTCATACAGATTTTTTTTAACAAATCTGTTAGATTTATACCTAAATCATTTTGGGGGCACTAATATAAATGGTTATGTGTTTTTACTTCAAAATTACACTGGTTCCTTGTTGATATATAGCAAACTGATTGACTTTTTTATTATTAACCTTGTATTCTGCAACCTTGCTGTAATTGCATACCAATTCCAGTTTTTTTGTTGATTCTTTGGTTGACTTCTACATAGATAAATGTCATCTGCAAATAAAGATAGTTGTATTCCTTCCTTCTGAATTGTCATACAGTTGATTCTTAAATCCTGAGGGGATTAGGGCACCCACCCCCTGCACAGCCAAAAATCCATGTATAACTTTTAACTCCCCCCAAACAACTAATAGCTTACTGTTGACCAGAAGACTTATTGATAACATAAATAATCAATTAACATGTTTTGTATATTATACGTATAATATACTGTATTCTGATGGTAAAGTAAGCTAAGAGAATCATATGGAAAATACATTTACAGTACTGTACTGTATTTATTGATATTGTGAGTTTATGTTGTCTGTTTACAAGATGAATCATCTATCAGTACTTATATCAATATTGTCTTTTCAAAACACTGTGTATGTTATAGTATTAGTAACAGTAGACATCAAAAATGAAAAGATAATGTGAAAAGAAATTAAGATTATTTACAGGTGCAATGATTCATACATTGATATTGTAGGAGCAGTATGATTGTTTTGTGGTAGGCTAGGTAATCAGTATGATTGCTTCAAGGTAGCCTAGCTATACACTAATGAAAGACATGTCAAAATTTTTGTGGCATACAGTATATTAGAGTCATATTTATAATACAGTATTGGAAACATTATTACATTTAAAAAAAACACTTACCAGGGATGATAGACTGATACGCAGTTTCTCCAATTACAAGGAGAGGCATACTGTACAGTAATGTAATTCTTTGAAAGCAAAGTTAAAAAACAGTAAGAAAATGTACATATTATAAATTGTATATTAAATATCACTCATCTTATGCCCATGTAAGGATAGACCAGTATCTACATGTATTTTATGCATTCATGACATGTCTTTTTCTTAAATTTTCCAGGCTGCACAGTTCCAGGCTGTGTAGACTACCCAGCTCACAGTTCTAGGCTACAAGTTTATTCAAATTGTCACAAATCTCCAAACACTTTTTAATATATTTGTTGAGACAAACCTGTGTGTATATGGACCTGTACAGTTCAAGTGTTCAA